ATCGGCTAGGTATAGGGGGTGCTTTGGTGAAGTTAATAAATTTATTTATATTTTTGCAAATCTACAATGTAGGTGGTTCAGTTTTATGATACTTGCTTGTGGTTATGTGTAGCTGATGTTTTTATTTAGCTGGATGCTGTAGCAATTTATTTCCAAAACACACTTACCTCATCTTACACAATAGTTTTATCCCAACAAAAGTTTATTTTCTCTGCCCATCTAAGCATTGGTATGAATCTTACCTCATATGCTGCAGCTGTTATAACCCATTATATTGCCCAAAGGAAGTTAAATCTTGTGATTCTCTCCACCTACTTCAGTGCGCCCCTTTTCCAGATCCGTATATAAGCTCCCCATTATTACATCCTATTCACTTTTCTTGATGGCAGAACATTAAGATGATGATTTTATGTGATTGCTGTGGGTTTCTCTTCAGTGTTTAATGGAGTTAGTTATACCTGTGCTTTAGATGACTCCTTTTTTTTAAGACCTTGATCTTGGGTCTTGAGAACAAAGAAAGAAAAAAATTATTTCTGAGATGTTTTCGTATATGAATTCCCAACTTCATGTCTCTGACATGGAGTTGCCTAGTGCTCCTTCTCTGCTAACTCTGGAGTCCAGCATTATTTAGCCATTGGAGAGCAGGCCCCCCTATCTGTGGAGGATGTTTATTCCTTCATGTACAGAAAGGTGGAGTCTAATGTTTTTCTACTGTTGACTTAGAGAGTGAGCTTGTGGGGGGTCAGGGACGAATGGGTGAAAATTTGGACCCTACTTTTCCTACTCCTTCCTTGCTGAGACAGCTAATTAGAAGCCTCAGTTGATCATGTCGCCTCCTGCATCATTTTTGCGACTAGTACATCAAGTTTGTAATGTCTTGACTTTTCTCTTGTAGCTTATGACTCTTCTCCTTCTTTTTTTGGGGAGGTGGGGACAATCATTTGGCTAATTACCTGGTCTTTCCACCTTTGCTAGACATTGTTGTGCATGTTAGGTGATTTGGTGATCTATTGTGAGAGTGTACTGCTGTGCCTTGTCCTACCTGTTTTTTAGATCAGCATGCCTTAGCTTTCCATCACTTGGAGAACCCATATTTTGATCTTCAGGGATTAGATCCTCTTTGGGGTTCTAGGTCTGATGCTACTGTTTGTCTTAACCAACTCAGTTTTCCCAAAATTGTCTGTCCCTTACAAAACTTGTGTGTTTTTATGCAACTGTTATCTGAAGCCGATCACAGGTGTCTTGTTCAATTTTCAGAGATTCTTAGTCAGTTATTGACTTCTACTTTGGTAAGGTTGTCAGTTTGTGCTCTCTTTTTGGCATCTTGGTTGGATTATTACTGAGATCTTTTGGAGTGTGATGCCTTGCTTGAAGGAGTTTGAATTCCTTCTATGGCCCTTAGAGATCTCAGAGAAACATCTTTTCTCAGACAATCAATTTTTGAAGGTATTGCAGATTCCAAAGAATGTAAAATAGATGTGGCCAATTGGTGCCTTTGTGCGTTTCTCTGGATAAGGCAGCTTTATTAAGTACTTTTCATTTTTCAGGGAGACGTACAGTTTTTGAGTTCTCAGTTTTGTCCTTGCTTCTGAAATCTTTTTGGGTAATCTGTCCTCGATGTCTTTTACAGATTCCTAATTGGGATATCACAGTGGTTCTCTATGCTCTATAATATCCACCCTTTGATCCTAAGGCATCGTGTTACTCTTAAGCATCATTTTCTTCTGTTGTTGGCTAGCAGATGCTGACATTCAGGTATGTTTGCAATTCATGTTCACAAGACTATTTACCATTCAGCCTATGTTCTGTTGTATCCTGATAGGTCTTTTTACCTAGAAAAACTTCAGTGGCTAGAGAAGGGGATATAGCTGTGCCTCATATTCATCTTCCATCCATTTCTCAATTTTATGACTAATGTTATGTTGTGTGTACTAAAGGATTTTGGGATTCCCATCACTGTATGCTCCTACATTTGGGTCTTCATGTGTCGTGGGACTTATTTCCTGTCACTTTGACACTTCCTGAGCTATTGGTTCGACTTTGTTTGTTCCACATCTTAATTCTGGGGGTAGGAAGTCTTGCCTTGCCTCTAAAGATGGGAATTTATGATTTTGGTTCGAAATCCCGGGCCGGGTAATCTCTGTTTTTTCAGGGTGAGTGAGGCATTAAAGGTTCCATAATTCCGAGTTTGAATTGTTGCATTTTGCATTTCTTCAGGTTGGGGGGAGGGTTTGTCCACTTTTGTGTTGCTTGCCTTTTCTTCGTAATTCTGGTGGCTTGACATGCAAAATTCTGTAACTTTCAGACATTACTAAACAAAACAAAATCACCTCTTTGGCTGGTAGGCCTCTGCTGTATTAAATTTCATGTTGTCTGGGCAAGGAACATGCCTGTTCCAGAAGTAGTGCAGACCACACTAGTGTGCTATTTCTGTATTTCATTTTCACACACCTCTTTTCTATGCAGATGCTTTCTGTGTGGATCTTGCCCTCACTGCCCCCCCCCCCCACCCTTGTCAATATAGAATTCTATCTATAGTGTGAGTGGAGGTAAATGTGTTTCAGAAGTTAACATTTTCCCATAACACCTTCTCTCAAACTCTCTGTTTCCTGTACCAAAAATCTATTTCCCATAACACCTTCTCTCAAACTCTCTGTTTCCTGTACCAAAAATCTATTTCCCATAACACCTTCTCTCAAACTCTCCAGCCCTTCCTCCCCAGGAAATGGCCAGTTTTGGGTCTGCTAATTTGGACTGTCTTGAAAAGTGAAAAGGAAGTGATAACAGGGAGCTTGGGAGGTAATATACGAACTGGGAGAGGGGGCACATTGATGTAGGTCGAGAGAATCACAAGATTTAACTTGCTTTGGGCAGTATAGTGGGGTATAAAGGCTGGAGCAAGTGAGGTAAGATTCATATCAATGCTTAGATGGGCAGATAAGAGAAACTTTTGTTGGGATAAAGCTATAGTGTGAACAGAAGTATATTTTCAGTAGATGAAAATGTTAAGTTTTAATGTAAAAAGTTCTAAAGTGGAGGAACTGTAGCTCAGATGTGCCACATGACAGAATAATGACAAATGAGTGTTTCTTTTTAAAATTAAGAACTTAAAATGTAGATAATATAAAAACTAAATTATAAACTACATTTTCATGTCAAGTGTATTGGCATGCATTGATAATAAAATTCTTTAATTACACTGTGCATGTAACACTGTAAAGGATGTGACATGAGCAAAAGGACTAAGTCTATATGCATAACACTACCAGAGACAGTCTTCTGCTTCATGAGTGCACAGGAGAAGGGAATCAATAGCGCCTTTGTGTATATATGCGTGGTGTTTCATGGTCTTGTGTGGTGATAGAGCCATTACATGAATTTCAGTCTTGTGTCTAGAAATCAAACAATATTACCTGTCCAAGGAGGGAAGAAATCCTAGTGCTGTTCTGTAATTATGAGCAGACAGTTGTCAAGCTTCCAGTGGAATGGTCATCAGCATGGTAAGCAAGATGGATGTGTCTGATGTGGTGTTTCATGGTTTACTGGTCTTGTGTGGTGATAGAGCCATTACATGAATTTCAGTCTTGTGTCTAGAAATCAAACAATATTACCTGTCCAAGGAGGGAAGAAATCCTAGTGCTGTTCTGTAATTATGAGCAGACAGTTGTCAAGCTTCCAGTGGAATGGTCATCAGCATGGTAAGCAAGATGGATGTGTCTGAGGTTAACATTATTATTTCTGTCACTTCACATTTGAGAGTGAGTACAATGTTGCCAACATATCTGAGGTCACTTTTTGAGGAGTTTGAAGACCCAAGTTGGCTTTCACCACCCAAGATGTTTGTACAAGTTTCACTACCACCATAGATATGGTTTTTCTCAGGACAGCAGCAGAATACCAACCAAAACAGAATAAAAACATTTAGTAATTAGACTTATATGTTTATAATCAAGACAACCTCACATATAGTTCAAGAATGTTACAAGTGTTGCATATTTTCATCTAATTAAGAGAATCAAGCATAAATTTTTGATAGTAAAAATCAACTTTACATTTACCTGTTATTCCACTTTATTTTTATAGGATGCTGCAAAACAAAATAACAACCAGGAAGCTAGTGAATTTGTGTTGCAGCAAGCTGTTGTTACTAGTTCTGAAGAAAGTGAAGGTAATTGTCCTTCTTTATTCAAATAACAGGATCATGGTTTATTTGATGTGTAATTTTGGTATGTAAATGTGGAATTCTTTGATGCTTTGACATACATACTGTTAATGTACATTCTCGTGGCTTCCATTTTTATTACCTGGTTAGAAGTTGTAATTGGAAAATTCCTGTTAGTGATCTTATTATCTTGTGCTTTATATGAGATAACACTTTTAGAATTAAAATTCAGTTCAAAGAGATATTATTGCATATTTCCCTTGTAAATTGATAGATTGTAGGAATTGAATTTAATAACACACTGGTAAGGTTGGATAAAAGTCAGATAGAGGGAATAATAGATGAACAAAAATTATTGGCTGATTGATTCAGTAATTGGTATGGAATAAGGGTGAGAAGTGATAAATAATATCAAATATGCTTGTGAATGATATTTGTCTGAAATTATATAAATTACTAATACTGGAGGGTAAAGCAGAGAGGAAAAATGGAGAAAAGAAACAAAAGGCATTTAACTCTGAGCATAGTAAAGAGTGAGCTAAAAGTTATAATAGAAATAAGTATATTTTTGAATTAAATTTAAAATTAATATTCAATAAAATATTCATTTTTATTTTAGATTATGAACTTTTTATATTAAGTAGGTTCTGTTATCGTTTATTTTGATATCAATTGTGTGTACTATTGGTTTCTTAATTTCTAATACTGTAAAATCTACAATTTCTGAGATGATATGCACTTCAATTTAGCTATCTTCCCTGTGCGTCTGCCTCAGATATTTGCATGCCACTAGCTTTTAAGCAACTCCCATCTAATCTCTTGTGATTTCTCACGAATTGCACTATTGCATAATGATGTTATTATGCAGCAAAAACCATCCACCAATAGGAGAGCAACACATCTCCATGTGCACTAACTTTATGCTTTTTCATTCATGAATCTTCATTCTGTTCCTCAGCACTTAAAACATCAGACGTGTTCTTTTCTTTTTCAGTTTAGTGAGATTTTTGATGTTTAAAGAACTTAATTTCCTTCTTTTTTTCTACAAACTATAGACATACTAGTTCATGTAACATTTAAACTACTTGTGTGAGTGAATAATTTCCTCACACATGTTATGTAACAACTATGGCTTATGAAGGCATGTTTACTGGGGATAAAGTGATGGCCATTGTGCATGGAGCAGTGGGTTCCCTGATGTAGCCAAGACCTTAGCTCCAGTTCCTTGTTAGGCATTTCTTTCCCTCCTTTTGAGGGAAGAATGAGGAGTACGAATTTGATTGTTTCCTCCTCCTGATTATGCTTTGGGAACTTTTATCCCTGTTGAAGAGAAACCTTAAATTTTCTTGCATTATCAGGACTTAATTTAATGGGTATGCACCATTCTTTTTCTTTTCCCCTATGTTCTGTTAGTATTCTCATTCCATACTTCTTAATACTAACCTTAATTTATTTTCCTTTTGTTCGTTTACCAATTACTTTCCCACAATGCCCTCTCTGTCCATCAGATTCTCAGTTTTAGTCATTCTCGATTCCCACATTACCCTTGCCTGTGTTGGGTGTATGGACTATTTGATGTGTGTTTTGGTCTCCAGTGCTTTGCCTGTGTTGGGTGTGTGGACTATTTGATGTCTGTTTTGGTCTTCAGTGCCTTATTGCTACACTTTCCCTCTCCTCCCTACACCTCATGTTTGAGGCACTCCACTATGCTCCAGAGAATAATGTGGGCAATTCTCATTCACTTCTTAACTGTGGCCCATTCCACTTCTACCATTTCCCTGCTCATATTCATCTTCTTTCTTCCCTTCTTCGAGATCTTCACCTGGCCCTCTTTTTTTGCCCTTAAGTTTAGCAGGGGTATTCTTGATTGATTGAATTACTGGCAGAGGCTGCCCACTATCAATCCTCACTTTTACCTTTTGTTTCTACACTATCCTAAACCGAACCCTCCAATAATGTACATCAACTTAGTTTCCAGTTTTCCATCTTTCTATTCTTATTTCCTTATAAAAGTAATTAAAACTAAGTAATTAGAAACATTTTTAGATTACATAAGGTTAGTAATAATAAAGATTTTGCAAGAAGCTTGCAAGTAGCCCATGTGTTATGGAATTGAGTAGGGTAACATGAGCTCCATGTTGGCCAATCGATTTACAAATTTTATGGCAGGAATATTTAGTTCAAAGGGCAATAAAACCAAAAATTTAAATATAAACAGATGTATAATGTTATCAGCTTAAACCTATTTAATATGAACAAGTGTAGTTTCAAGTTATAATTTTAAGTCATTCTAGAAAGAAAAAAAGGGTAATTTAGATTTATTTTGAATTTTGTTTTGGTTGTTACCAAACTCATATATAGAGTTAGGGTTGATAAAATTACAGATAAATTTAAAGTTTTACTGAAAAATAACATTTTATGATTACTTAGGAGATTTTACAGATACTTTTATTCAGCTGAATAAAAGTATTTTTAATGTTAACATGAAAATCACTTTTCACTTCGGCTTGTAAACAAAACTACTCGATATATTCACAAACAAATCTTTACTAAAAATACTTAATTAAAAATGAATTTCTTATGTACAAATGTGTTGCAATGTTTAGTGAAAGTCTGACAAATGCTATGAAGATACACATACTGTATTAAAAGCTATAATATAGAAACTGTAACAAGTACAAAAAGGTCATGAACTCAATTGATTTGACCGAGCCCATGTGGAAAGAGTTAATATGCAATTAAGCATCTAAGCTGTAGATTTACTTTGATTGAAAGAGGAAGATTACTACTTTTATTGGATTATTTTGTTATAAAAATTTATTTATTTGTGGTATTCAGGTATACTGATATCTACCAAATAAGAATGGTGGATATCAGTGTACCTGAATACCACAAATAAATAAAAAATAAGAATCAAGTATCCATATAATGGAAGTTCTGGAAATGTTAAGCAGAAAAATAAATTCAAAGATGGACAACAAAGGAAAATGAAGTAAACACAAGTGAACAAATAAACAGAATCTTTATTCACAGTAAGGTGTAAATTATAACCTACTGGCTGGTTTATAATTTGTTGTATAAGACATCAATTGGTTGCTGGAGCAGAGAGCAGGATACTACCAAGACAGAAACAGGCTTAAGAATAAAACAGATTCACACAGAACCAAAAATAATTAAATAAATTATTAAATCAGAATTACATTTTAACTGTATTTGCTTTTAAACTTGTTCAACCTCATCTCATACTAACTAGTACATGTGTACCAACTCTTGAAATGAGTATGATACATAAACGTTTTCTAAGATGGAAAATTAATGCAAGTTTAAGATATTCCTATGTCCAACTTATAAAAGATTACACTAACTGCATGCTGAACACTTGAACAAACATTTAAAAAATTAACTAAACAAAGAAATATATTCTGTTCTAGTGGGAGTGAAATATATCAAAACTTTCCAATTCCCTTCTTTATGTCAGGATATTTTTAGACCCAAACATTAAAATCACATGTTACGGGCCAAATTAGAATCGAGCTACAATCATTTTTCAGTTCATATGCATGACACCATGACTGATACACTAAAACAACAACAAAGATAACAAAACAGCTTAAATAGACATTCATTTGGATAAAATAAAATGAGCAACATAAATTAACCCTTTCCACACAGGTCATGGGTCAAAGACCATGTCATCATGTTTGTTGACTCGCATTCAAAATTTTATTGAACTAATATTTTATGAATTTATGTAATTAAATTTGGTATCAAACTGTAGGTTATAATTCAAATTTTAGTATTATACATTATTTAATTTCTTAATTTAAAAGTAAATATTAAAAAACACACCTAAACATTGATTTTTGTGTACACGTGGTATGTTTGTGATGTCCAAATACCAAGTCTGTAGTTTCTTACAAATTAGTAACTCAAATTACTGATATTGACAATCTAGAATATGAAATAAAACCTCCTATCTTCTCTCTTTGCTGAATCAAACATAGTGGCCTCGTGCACCTCTTTCCATTTTTGGAAACACATCTGCATATAAAATTATTTCTGTCTATGACATGTGAAAAACACAATCAAAAGCTCAGAATGTCCCCTAGTGGCTTTCTCAGCCATTTTCAAGTATTCTGACATCAACTTTTTCTGTCAATACAAAACTTCAAGTTGGTAAGTTGAGTCTTTAGTCTGCTCGAAATTTCATACTTTTGTAGACCTAAAAACAGCTTAGTTACTAAGCTTGATAAATTATAGTGGAATTCTGTGGTATCGAGATAGTAATTTATGGTTTTTTGGTTATTCAACTATATATATAAAACCTAAAAAAATTATTTCATTTCATATCCTCCACATGCAAAATTTTATAAGGCTTAGTAACCCACGATAAGCAGCAAACGAGTACAAAGGTTATAACTAGAAGAGATAATTGTTTGCTTTACTTATTTATTTACTGTTCTATGTTTTAAGAAAAATAAGCTTAAGAAGATATTTGTAAATAATAATAATGTTTATACATATATAATGTATAATAACTGAAACGTGACTATATTTTACAAAATACTACTCAACTGAAACACATCCAAGACAGGTCACTTTGTAAAAGTCAGTGTTATATTATTGGATACAGTAACATGAGTGCATGTGTGATGTTTCATTTTCCTTCTCTTATGTTAGCCAGGCATGACTGAAAGGTCAATATAATAGAAAAAATAAATATATATAAATGTATAATGTTATGACATTCAAGGTATTTAGACTAAACATTTGTATTTTTGAGTTCAAATTTGTAGCCATTCTATACTGAAAAATAGCATAATTCATATTTATTTCCCAGTTTTTATGGTTGTTACATGATCAGTCAAATTTACTGAACCTATTCAGAGATTTGATAATGAAAGTAACAGATAAAATATAAAGTTTGTTTTAAAATTATCTGGAGATTATAAATATTTTGATTGTGAAATATACAAATTTTCTGATGCATAAATCAAATTGAAGTT